ATTCCCACCTTACAAATGAGGTAGCTGGAGCCTAGAGAAGTGAAGCCTTTTCTCACAGCCGCAGGTCGGCTCTGACAGACAATAAAGGAACGCTCCTGGTTCTGACATGCTGCTTCCAGGGCACGAACGGAATGAGAGAAAAATGAGAATAATGGACTTTCTCCAGTCATTTTGTTCCACACTCCAAAGTGCAGGCTTCGTCTCAGGGGGTCGTGAAGACGCTGCGGCCCTTCCCCCCCTCAGGCCCTCAGTGGACACAGGCAGCCAGCCCACTGAGGCACTCTGTCATCATCAAGACTCGCTCAGTGACAGGCCTTAAGGTCTGAAAGTCAACCATCTGGACTGAGGAGGTAGGGGCAGATGCCCAGCACAGGGAAAACACTTTGATCCCGACTCCACAGGAAGAGGTCAGCCTGCTGGGCTTCAAATTCCACCCTTATTACTAACTTATTATGCACGACCTTGGGTGAATAATTCATCCTAAATGTGAGTAAGCCGCACATACTCGGGTCATGTTAGCAGATTGTCTGGTCTGTGGACAAGGATATCTACTTGAGAAAGTAGGGAGCCACTGAGAGGAACACCGTCAATGAGACGGATTTAGGGGCATAAAGAAGCAGAGGGGACATTATGGGGATGGTGCAGGATTAGGCAGGATTTCATCAAATCTGTGGAGCACATGGTCATAAGGTCATCCTGAGTTGAAGTAAATTTGAGATCACATGATGACAACAATAAGCCCAAATTTCCCCATTTTAAATGAGGCTAACAAGAGAATGACTACATTTGAGTGTTACGGAAAGAAAGGGTTAAATGTAAAGACACTTGACATAGTGCCCAGTCCATAGCTTAGTAAACAAACAATGTGCTCTAAGATATTTATCATGAGTATTGGGATACTGTATCCTACAACTTTGGGGGTGGCTCCCTCACCGTCACCTATGGGGATGACACCTCGTGGAGTTGTGCACTTCACAACCTGAGCAGCTGGACAAAGCATCCTTGATGCTCATGCTGTTACAGCCACGTCGGATTTTACCTTCTCATGGTGGATGCTTAGATTGTTTCTCAGAAAAAGGGTGTCATATGCTATGGACTTGGCATGAAACGCACCTTGCTACTACGTGGGTGGGTTTTCATAATTGACCAATGAAAAGGGAAAAGGAAATGTGCATTGAAAAAGCAGAGAGGAGACCGGAGGTGTTTGCAAAGGGCTGCCAAGAGAGGAGGCGCGTTCTGGTGAAGACCCATCTCCGGTGCATCCATCTGGGGGGGTGGGGGGCGGACACTGTGAGCATGCTCACTGCTGTCACTCAAGCTGGGCCAGGGAATCAAGCCTGTTGACTGTGCAACCCAGATTCACCAAGATAGGTGCTGAGCAAATGCATGAAAAGGGAGATGAGAGCAAGAAAGGGGTTAGGAGCTGTGGCCTGGGGGAGTCTGAAAACCAGAGAAATACAATGTGATGCGGTCAAGTGGGTTCAGACACCGGGGAGCACCGCATGGTACAGAGTGGGACTGCTCCGCGGGCTTTCCTTTGGTGGACTGGTGCACCAGGAGCTGGACTGCTAACAAAAGTTCAAGGGTTCAAATTCACCAGCTGCTCTGTAGGGGAAAAAGAAAAGGTGTATAATCTCTTCCCATAAAGATTTACAGTTTGAGCAGTCCAATGGAGGGTTGGCATGAGTTAGAACCGCCTAGCAGTGGGAAGGTTGAATATTTACAAACCCTGAGTGTCAGGTTTCCTCCTGGCTGCCTCTGGGTGGATTTGAGCCTCCAACCTCTAGATTAGTAGCTGAGTGCAAGCCACTCACATCATCCAGAGACCTCAGGAAAGCCTGAAAAGGACCTGCTTTTTCAAGTGCTCACTGAATTCCTGTTTAACAAGGACACTTCCGATGGTGAAAGTAGGAGGGATTAGTAATCACACCAGGGCAGCAGGCATAAAGCAGGCCTGCTCTGGGGTAAAACGCCGCGCAGTCACCATCCCTGATGTGGCCGATTCAGGGTGGCTCGTAACTGCTGTCAACATCCACTCGTAGACTCACTGCCCTGGGTGATCCAGTGAAGGCCACCAGCATGCTCTGCGTGTGAGGGGTAGAAAACCATCTGATGGGGCTTCTCCCTCATCCAGCTGCCTTGAGCCTTGCTCTGCCAATTCAGTCAGCCAAGCCAAGCGGGGGTCTCCCATGTCGCTGTATTCACCCTTTAAACCCAGGTTCCCCTGCCCTCAGCACTTCACTTGGGATCAATCCAATGAGAAAGAATGTCTGTAGGAGGATGACTACTAGAATCTGCTTCCTGACATTCAGACAGTCTCCCAGGGTGAATGGTTAATCTCTGGAAGAATCTCATAAATACAGGAACAGGCCAGGTTATCTCCTGATGTGCTGTGTTCTGGTACGGAGGCTGACAGGAATCTCTGAGGAAGGGTTTTAAAGATTCATCTGCACCACACATGCAAGGACGAGAATGTCTCAGCACATTTTGCATGTGCGAAGAGGAGAGGAATTTCCTCCATGCGTAAGTGGCAAGGTTTTCCCATTCTTTGGGATTCAGAAGGGATTATAAATGGAGCTTGGATTCTGTGACTGGTACTGGCATTTTCACAAGCTGGCCTCAGCATCTGCAGTGGGCTCAGATTCCTTTCCAAACACTCTTTTACTTTACTTTTTGCTCCTTCAGAGCAGTTAAACAGAGTAACTTTCACGAGTTTGGCATGAAATGGAGAGAGAGACAGAGAGAGGGAGAGGGAGAAAGAAGGATGGGGGGGGAGAGGGAGAGAGAGAGGAAGAGGTCGGGGGGGGGTGGTGTAAAGGGAGAGGGAGAGGGGGAGAGAAAGCAGTGGTGGTTCTAAAACAAGATTCACACAAGGAATCAAGAGGAAAAGTGACAGAGGAAGACAAGGGAGGTGCTTTGTCTTTCTATGTTAAACACTGGCAATATCTTCTGGCCCCAAAGGGGAAACCCAAGTCTTGGACACATAACTTTACAGGTCTTCCAGTTGCAGCCACCTCTGTTCATCCCTGGGTGGCTGAAAGGTACACTGGTGTCTCAAAGCCTCAGTTCTATCTGCGTTGTATTTTCAACTTCTTCCCTTCCGAGGTATCTGATTAGAGTTGCAGAGCATGATGGGAATCCTAGAAGCAATCACCTCTTTCTCCAGAGCCCTGATTCTTTTTGGACAACTCTTTATAGCTATGATTAGACCCAGTCTACACGTGAAGCCCAGAGAAGTTAAGAATCCTAGTGTGAAGATACACAGCTAATAAGAGGCAATGCTGGGATGGGGATTCTAAAACCTTTGGGGAGTGCCAAGGCCTTGAGTGAAGGGGCCCTAGTGGCTCAATGCATAATGTTTTGGGCTACTAACGGAAGGATCAGTGGTGATTTAAACCCACCAGCCATTCGCTAGGAGAGAGATGGCCAGTCTGCTCCCACAGAGATTTACAGTCTCAGAAACTCGATAGACAGTCACTTGGAGTGCGAACTGACTCTGGACTCCAGAGCAGTGAGTCTTGATTTTCTAAAAATACTTTGAAGAGTTCAAGGGCAATTACTTAGAAATTTAACTTCTTTATCCATTAGCACCCTGCCACTTTTTACAAGTTTGGTGATGTTTTTAGTTTTAGTTTTTGGTTTTTTTTTAAACAAAAGTACACCTAGAAAAAAAAAAAACAACAAGCAAAAGGACTGAGTGACCAGAGAAGTTGAAACTTCTAGAGGAAGAGATGACAGCAAAGAATGGAAAGAATCCACCAGAAGGGTGAGGGGGAGACAGAAGAGCAGCGAGGAGAGAGGTGTGGTCATGAGACTTAAAGGGAACAGTTTGTGTTTTTTAGGTTTACGTTGAGTGTTGGTGTTTCTTATTGTCAAGTCTGTGACATTGGGATAAGTGATATCAACTTCAGTTTCCTTGCCTGTAACATAGGGTCAGTAGGAATATCCACCTCATCTGGTAAAACCCCAATTCACTGTCATTTCTCCTGCACTGTGGTTTCTGAGGGTCTAAATCCCTGAGGAGGAGACTGTCTACCCTTCTCCTGAGGAGGCCGTGTTGGTTTTGAAGCCACAACCTGCGGTTGTGTAGAGCACTCCCTCTGAGCTCGTCTGGTAGGTGCATAAAGCACTGAGGGTCCAGCGTCTTCTGCTCCCCCACATGCGGCCCGTTCCTCTCCTGCTCTGACAGCCATTCCTGGGGGGGGGGGCGCAGGGAGGAGCGTCTCAGGCGTCCACTACCCTCTTACTCGCATCTCTGCACTTGGACTAACATTTCTGTCCAAGGTCAGCTTTACTAATTCTTTCTCTCCTTTTTTTCTACAAACTCATCTCTCTTCTGGAACAATGTTACCTCCTGATACTGTTTTACCTTCAGGGCTAGGCATCCCCCCAAGGACACTGAGACGTTCTTTCTTCTTCTCCTTTTTAGCCAAACATTAACTTGGGAGTTGGGAGAAAACAAGTGTGGTTGATTTCTGCATCGCTTGAGTGGTTTCTTCAGATTACCTCACTTCTTACATTTAAATGCTGCAAATCCTTTGCCAATTAATCAGGGTTACACTTGAATGCTTTGCCATCTCCTATCTACCTGAAGTCACAGAAGGGGGAGAAATACAAAGTCCTACCTCAAGTCCCCGTGTCGCTCTTCACGCTAATGCGGATTGAGTGAAGTCTGGGCGCACATATTTAAAGTTTTCCTCCCATCTCTCCCTCCTTCTGTGGAAAGTTATCTGTAGGCATTTGGCTCAAGGCCTGTGAAAGCCTGGGAGGCAGCCTGACTTGGAACATCAGCACAGACGCAGAATTGTATAAAAATGAGGTACTTTCCCTTCTGTCCACCAACGCCTGTCTCCAGACAGAAACCCTTCCAGGAAGGAGCCGGCACTGTCACAGTGCTCAGTGGCCGCCTGGCTTCACAGGACAATGTATGAGACGTACCATTGGGAGGGGTGTGTGTGAGCAAAAGGCCTGGCAGGTGCTCACTTGGGGCCTCTACTTACTTCTTGCCACTCCTCTACCCGCCACAGGTAGAGGGGGCACGGTGGGGCTTGGCAGGCACGCTCCAACTCGGGTCTGGTGTACGGGTTACACTCGGTCTCTCTGGCTATTTTGTGAGTTCCGATTCGACAGCCCACGTTCCGCTGCTGGACGCCTCGGCCGCAGGACACGGAGCACTGTGGGACACAGCATGTAAGTGGAGCTCTTGGTCATTCTGGGGAGGGTGGAGGGTGGAGGGGTGACAGAGGAGGGGACTCACTCCTAATCCAATGGCTTGTCCACCTACTTCTAAATCCCCAAGAAAGAGGCCCAATATGCTTTCTGAGCAAGCTTGCTGCTCGCAAAAGCTGGACAGGGAAGAAGAGCGCTGGGTCTGGGGGACTCACTAAAGTTCAGGGACTCCTGGGGGCTTGGGCAGGGTGGGGAAGCATTGATGAAGCACACAGGACAGCCTGGAACTAGCCCTGGAAATGAAAGCCCACTATGATTCCCATCCGGGAGGCTTTGCAACTCTCGAAAATTGGAGATACAGTATTGTGCTAGGAGAATTTCTTGGCAGATTATAAAGTAACAAGTAAATTACTAAAGACTTCAGTGCCATATAAGTAGAATTGTTTCCTCCAGACTCCCCCCTCCCCCATTATTCTTGGAGGAGGGCTTTAAAAAAAAACAAACCAACCATGGAATGCACTAAAGTATTTGTGTCTCTTTACAACCTCAGATAAATATATGTAGAGTAAAAGCTGACAAGAAAAAAACAACCTCAAAAACTCTATTTCCTAGGGGTCAATGTTTTCCAATCTTGAAAAGTACTGTTAATCATGTTGAAATATTTTGTTGACCAACTTGCAAAATACCATATTAAATCTGCAATTAACTTTCTTCTAAATTAAGTTTTTAATGGTTTCCTTATTGCTGGGTTTCATTATCTCACTTACGGGCAGGCCAAGAATGATGGTCTTTATTAATTTTCTGACAGTCAGGAAAAGCAGCATTTGATTGGAAAGAAGAACATATCATCGCACTTAGCTCTTAAAAATTATTACCAATTTTTGTGAGAGCTCAGTCTTCACGAATTTATTTAGCAGGGAGGAGAAAGAAAAAGCCCAAACATCCAAGTATAGAATATATTAAAGTCACATTCCTAAGAGGAAGTCTTCTTAGAGAACAGAGACAGGCTCTTAACTTAGAAATTCTTGTTCAATTAACCTGAAGCAACAGTTACTGCTCATTGAGGCTAATGGGAATTTCCGATCAAGATGTACACCCACCTGGAATTCTGCAGACTATTAATTTTCCCTCCTTTTCAGATTAAAAGAGAGAGAGAGAGAGAGAGAGAGATGCTGATGAGAAGGCAAGTCAGGAAAGTTGCATTATTTCTAACATGTTAGGGCCAAGGAGGGGACTCAAATGTCAGCTGAGCTGAGGAAAATATTTTGGGTGACTATTTTGGCTGTTATTATTTGGTTTGAAGTGTATTAATTGGATTGAAGGAGTCTGTGACCCACAAGGAGCCAGAGTTTTACAGTCATTATGTCCTATGGGGAATGGGAAGCACTATGAATCACAACGATGTTTCATCTACAAAAAATGTCCACTCTGGGCTCCCGGAAGCTGTATGTTTGAATTATCCAGGGAAAGAATGAACACTTCACCTTGAGAATTACAGACATGCTCAAACAGCATTGGCAACAAACGACAGCATAAAATCCAGCTCCAAAAAACTCACTGGGCTGTTTGCATTTGGGGTCATAGATTTCAGAGAGTATTTCCTGAACAAATGTCTCCAAATAGAAAGACAGAGGTTAAGTAAATAAAGTTGAATTCTGCATAAGACTAATATATAGATATTCAAAATTTCATGCCACTTTAGTAAGATAAGACAAAGGAGGGAAAGTTGTTAAAGAATTTTAGAATTACACCACTGCTTGGGCTAGCAAGTCAACGGAACTTCTTTGATGTTATTGAGGAAATTATGTATGGTTCAAGGAAGACAAGGTATTACGTGTGGTGAATTAAACATAAAAATGGGGAAAATCACTTCCTGTAACATTCGATAATTTTTTAAAAGAGTACTTAAGACACAGCAAGGCTCATATCTAGAATATGTTGCTCTGGCTTCTGATTTTGATATTATCAAAACCTCCGTAGGAAGAAAAAAAAAACACATTTAAAAGTTCAAAAGAGACTTAAGCACAAAGCAAAGTGTGAGCCCTGCTTTCTGAATAATGCATCCCCGTAATCTTTGTTCTAAATGAGGTACACTGCTTCAGCCTTAGTGGCTTCAACTTTTTCTCCCTTTCTGTCTTGAGGGAAGCAAGAATTTGCATACAGAGCCGGTGAGGCTTGCTGACTTGGTGAAATGGTGAATTCTGAGAGATGTGAGTGGAAATCCCATGAATAAAAGAGCATCAGGAAGCCCTGTGTATGGCCCAGGAGGTGTTGCTGGTGTGTGTGTGTGTGTGTGTGTGTGTGTGTGAGTAAGAGAGAGAGAGAGAGTGTTTGTGCTCAATGCTTCTTCTCTCCAGAATACCTCTGTGTTAGTTTGTAGAAGAAAATGTGCATTGTGCAGCCTCTTTTAATGTGTCTGCCCCACAGCCACCGTCCCAGAGGCCGTCTGTGTGTGTAGGGTGGAGAGTAGGTGGTTTCAGTCTTGAACCACTGAGCTGAGAGCTTTGTTTCATTTCTTGGTACTTCTGCTGTGTGGTGCTAACACGCTAGACTCACCAGCCTGAGGGGAACCTGATAATTCTTCTTTCTATAGATAAAAAGAATCCTGTTGTTTGTGGAATCATAATTGACACTTAAAACCACAAAAGAATTTTATATCATTTCTGCCAGTGTTATCCTGAAATTATGGTAGGGATATTCTTTAGAGGAGGGGCTAGCCTGAGAATTAACTATAAAAATAAATATCTATAAGTAATAACAACAATACTAAGTACTTGCAATATGCCTGGCTATATGCCAAGGATTTTCAACAAATAGTTCTCTGTTCTAAGCACTATCCGATGTACTGAGTTAGTGGCATCCCTGGCCTCTTCCCACTAGATGTCAGTAGCACCCCCCACCTTCAGTATGGCAACCAAAAATGTTACCAGACATACCAAGAGTCCACAGAAAAGCAGTGCCCCCACCACCTTTGGGATTTACTCCATGCCAAGTATTTTACATAAATATCATTATATTTCCTAATAAACCTTTTAGGCAAATACTCTACACAGACCTAGAGCACAAAGAAACAAAAAACTAAAAGAACAAAGAAAAAAACTAAAGAACAAAGATAATCACACCAACTCAAGGGAATTAAAAAAAATAATAAATAAAATAAAAGACTCAAAGTAAACTCTGCCTTGAACAATAGACCATAACTACTGTGGATTAGAGTTTGGCTTCCAGATCTAAAGTATGGTGCTAATAGGCTGCAGTTTCTTATACTGTGTCAGCAAGAGTCAGGGTGAAACATCTGTGTTCAAACAATGCTCCCCCATTCAAATAAAAACAAAATAAATGGAGAGCAGAAGCCAGTTTTCTAAATGAAAGCAATGCCAGGTCTCACTGACCATGCGCATTTTGTTTCTTTAATTTCTCAAAGGACACCAGCTATACACACACTACAGCCTTTCTACTAAACACATAATGACTGCTTCAGTTTTAGACTGCCGCAGGGTTCAGGACCAGAAGAGTCTCAATCAGAAATAACTGGTAGAGTTTTAGTTCAACTTGTCAGTTTCCAGTTGGTCATTAGCATTGAAAATGCTTGTGAAGTTAATGACCTATTTCATGGAATGTAAAACCCTACTGGTAAGCTGTGCTGCAATCTTAAAAAGGTATACAGTTCGAGTCTACCAGCTTCTCTGAAGGAGTGAGATGGGCAATCTCCTCTTGTGTGATTTTACTGCCTCTGAAAACCTGCTGGAGAGTCAGTTATGGATTGGTTCCTACACAATGGAACACAACAAGAAGAAAGAAAACAATGGCTATTATATATGGCATTCCATTGGTTACGGGGCCCATTCTGACCACACAAACTCAGAACCTATAACATGCACTTTAATTCTCATCTCATCATTTGTTCCTTTTCTGTCTGATCTCAATGTTTTTTAAAAAAATCACTTATAAATCAGCTCAGCTTATTTCTATGAAGTCAGAACTGGCTCATAGTTGACCTTCTAGCAGGTTTTCTGAGGCTGTAAATTGCACAGAACGAGACTGCCCTTATTTCTCCCACGAAACAGCTGGTAGATTCAAACCACCACCTTTAGGTTGGCAGTCCTTATCCACTACGCCACCAGAGCTCCCTTCATACATGAATAGGGTTAAGTTCTTTATTTTTTTTTAAATTCTGGAATTCTTTTACGACATAATGAGCATTTACATCTGTCAAACTGACCAATGCTGATATTGGTTGTAAAATCCCCTGAGTATTCTTTAGCTCTTGATCAAACTTCTCTAAACAAATTGAACATGATCTTTTGAGGAAAGCCCTTTGAGATTTTAGTGGGGATGTTTTCTAATAGTTAATTTCCTTTACAAATTATTTTAATATCAAGAGATTTAGAAATGAGCCATTCTACTTTTGTGGAGAGAACAATGAGGTTTAGCAAGGAAACAGTCTCTATTTTAATATTTGTATCTTTTATTTTTTGCATCAGACATTCTGACATGATGAGAAACTGCAGTAATTATTTTTTCTAACTTGAAGAAAAGATGACAAGAATATAACTGCAACAGAAAACAGAAGGGCTACACAGACAATCATCTGGATATTATCAAATGGACAATTATTACCCTTGCTCTCACGTTGCTGCCTTACTGTTATTCTTGTTTACCAGTTCATTATTAATAAGCCAATATTCTTTAATCATGCAGACAGGCCTCCCCCATCAATCATTGGGCCTGATTATTTTCAGGTACACTTGTAAATTGCACAAATAGAATTTTACCCATGCAACACCTTTTCTCACTGCTTTTAGTATTCATTCCTGCAAATCTAACCAGAGCATTCTAAAACTGGCCAGAGACCACTGCATAACTGTATTTACTTGTATTTTCTGCAAATATGTCATGACTTCCCTTAGCAATCTTTTTGAACAGGTGTGATCTTTCCTGGGGAGACATTCTGGCAATCCTGTTATCTTATGTTCTTGTAACCCCCCAGGGTTTAAACCTAATCATTGAAGCTTTATAAACAATTTTGGGCTGCATATCAAGATCACAGGATACTGGAGCAAAACTCACCCTTGTGTTGTTTACCGATAAAAGCGCAAAGGATTCTTTTAATGACCTTTTTATTGAATAAATTGGCCTTTAAAATGAACATCATTTACTAGTTCTAAATGTAATATTCAGGGTGAGATGCATATAGATAAGTAGAGGCTGAGGAACATAAAGAAAAGTAACAGAGCATGAAATTCTACAAGAGGACAAGCTAATTGGTATGGTCTCTTAAATAATGCTAGCTTCAGGCTTTTACATGAATTGAATAGCTGGAATTAAAAAGCTGGACATTAACAGATGACAGCGGCCATTTAAATAAACCATGAAGAAGGATGACCTGTGTGAAAAGCAGCCCTGAAATCTAATCTTCTGTGGAAACAAGGGGAGGAGATAGCTCTGGCTGACAATGGACTCTATGATTGTTTTTTAAAATTACTGATGGTTTAGAGTAATAGAAGAGTCTCTGGTGGTACAAATGAGTAGGGCCTCTGTGACTAGCAGTGTAACTGAGTCTCAGAAGAAAGGCTTGGTGACTGACTCCTAAAAGCTCCCTGACAACCCTGTACAGCACAGTGCTGCCCTGCATCCGCACACATGCGGTTGTCATGACAAAACCCTCGAGAGGGATGCAGCCTGCTCTACTGAAGGCGGATGCAGGCCACATTTCTGTGAAGCAAAATACTGTGGGGGGGTGGGAGGGTAAGGGGCAGGCAGAGAGGATACCATAGGCACCAAGCCAAGCCAAGCCTTGTTACTGTTGGGTAGATTCTAACTCCTAGAGACCTCAGAGGGCAGAGGAGAGAACTATCCCCCAGAGTTCCCAGGTTGTAATCTGTACTGAAGCAGACTGCCACACTTTCTCCTGCAGAGCTGCGGGTGGACTCCACCTTTCCAACAGCAGCCAAGCGCTTAACTGGCAGGTCACCAGGGTGCAGGAAAATATAAGAAAATTTCCTATTTCTGGGGGAATTTTTCATTAATTATGTTGCCATGAAGACTTCTTAAGTCTTTCTCAAGTTAAGAGAGCTGTATCCAAAGCTTTTCTGGGCCTTGGAAATCAAGATTAGGGCTCGGAAAGAATCAATTCTAGAGGCTACCAACCTTGAACCTGGATTTCTTTGATCCTCAGGGGGAATGTATTTAATCCTTCACTGCATAGAGAACCAGAAATACAGTAACAACCTCAAAGAATCAGATTGATGGAGAGAAGGAGCAGCATTAAAGACAGAATATTTTAAAAGAAATTGAGCCATTTTAAGTAAGCACCTTCAACCAAGCTGAGAAAATGTACACGTGTGGAATTACAAGAGCTACTTAACGACTAAGATAGGAGTGACTTCAGTTCACATGTCAATTATTCACAGGCAAATAGAAGCTTCTAAAGGTCCTTCTTAAAATTCACCAGGGAGAAACTCACACGACCACTGTCTAGGTCACCAAATATCTAATATTAGGGAAGACTCACTATATGGGTCCTTGGATACTTAACACCCCTCTTCTCCTTCCAATACACATGCTACACTCACCAATCAAACAAAGTAGTACTCTGAACGGCCTATTAGATTCAAGGTCCATGAGCTAAGCACTTGGCATTCATTACTGCATTAAATCCTCATAAGGAGAGTACAAAGGAGATGCTATTATCTGAGGTTAGAAAGGTTAAACAAGTCACCCAAGGTTACGCAGCCAGAAGATGACCCAGAGCTCTCCATTCCCCCCATCAGCATGTTCATGATTACAGAAATACTCTGTAGTACTTAATGTAAAAAACCCTTCCTTCAAGGACCTCTGGGGCAAATTCAGACTCCTGCCAATTATGGCATAATTGGAATCTTTATTTTTCTAAAGGGTGAGTTTGTTTTTTAAAAAAAAAATAGAAGAAGTTATACTGGGGAAATAATGAGGGCTATTCTGTGCTACAAACCAGGAGTCTGTTATAAAGAAAAAAAATAACCACCAAAACCGACAAAACAACAACAACAACAAAATTCATAGCCTTCAAGTCAGAACTGATTCACAGCTGATCCTCCAGTGGGTTTTCAGAGGCTGTAAATCACAGTAGAGGAGACTGCCTGTTTTCTCCTGAGAAGCAGCAGGTGGATTCAAACCATCTGCCTTTGGTTGGCAGCACAACCCCTTACCCACTGGGTCATTTTTTTTTCAAAATCATTTGTTTATTTTTCCTTTTCATGTTGTGTGCTGTCGAATCAGATCCCTAAGGGCATCTTTTATACTTAGAGTTATCCTCACAACTAAGCTGGTGTAGGTGGTACAGTATCAAGGGTTGAAGCCACTTGCCCATGGCCACATAGCTTTTTTTCTCCTGATTATAAAGAGCTTCCCTCCCCGGCCCCAGCTCCCCTCTGAAAAACCAAATTTGTTCAGAGAAACACAAGTCAGCACCCGGGGCCAGCCCCCGCGGCAGAACATAGGGAAGCGGTCGGGAGGGGGCGCATTGCTCACCTGACTCCAGGCTCCAGCCTTCCACTTGGGGCATCTTCCTCCTCGGCACTTTCTGTGCCCATTTGGCTTAGCAAGGTGTTTACAGTAATCATTTCCTAAATGGGTTCCATCTTTTGCCATGCAGTAAACATTTCGTTGTTTAATCCCTCGACCACAAGACACAGAACACTGCAATATAAAGCAATGGCAAGATTGTTTGTTTTTCTCTCTCTTTTCTTTTTCTTTTTTAAAAATCACATCGTGAGATGTTAAGACCATGTCTAACAAAAGCCATCTTCTCCCCCCTTTTCTCAGCACCATTCTGGATGATTTCTCAAGGCTCCACAGGGAAGGGAGGGAAGAAAGGTGGCCCTGGGGAAAGTGTCCCCACCTTTCCAGCAGCCCTTCTGGGTTGTGGTGTGGGCCACTCAGGAATGGGGCCAAATCCTTACCATTAAGGCCTACAATAAAACGTATCAACTTGTCATTACCATGGGATTCTAATTTTAAAACGTGCTCCTGCACTTAAAAATGTGATGAAATGTCAAGAGTTCTTGTGCGCATCCTAGTTTCTGTGTTTGCTGATAAAAGTATTGCTTCAACAGAGTGCCCTGACTTGGGAAAGGTTCATTTCCAAATTACAACTGTGTCTATTTTCCTAAATAAGCGATTTAAGGAAACTTCTCAACTATTTTCCGGAAAGTAAACTCTTACTTTTCCGGTGTATTGGGGAACATGGTGAAAAGTGCAAGTTAGAAATGGCTAGGTAAAGCGGCAGGTAGGTTTGTGCCAGCTTCAGGAGGGAGGCAATACCTTTCACCTTTGATCTGCAGGCTCATTGAACTGTTTCAAATGTGACCTTGTCTGACCACATCTGAGAAACTTGACTTTGATTTCAGATTAGGTTTCTCAGAAAGATTTAAGAATCAAAGTGCCCATGGAGTCAGGACAAAAATTTCATATGACAGCTTGTTGTAGAACAGGCAAGAGGCTGGCCCAAATGAAAGCACTGAGATATTCCACATTCATTGCCTCATTAGCGATTACAGAAGTCATTACCACTTGGATCATAAGCTTGCTGGCTCAGGTTTTCAAGACACATCATTTCTCAATATAATGCTCTTGCTTTTTAGAGGGAAATGAGTTTAAGAATGAAGAAAAAAAAATCTGAAAATGCAATGAAAATAGATTGTAAGTGTCATTTCCTTCTATCTAATCTTTCTCATTTTCCTCACTAACTTTGTGATTCTGTTAACTTAAATTACCAAAGTGCCCTTTTATGCCTAATAGATAAATAGCACCATGTGAAACATGTAGTCTAATATTAATTTAACCACAATTACCAAGTATGCTCCAAGCTATACTAGTCATAAATGTGCCAGACGTGTTTTTCTAGTAAATATAAACACTTATAAAACTTCCAATCTTGGCTGGTAGGGAAATTTAAAATATGTATATTAATAGGTATGACACTGGAATTTTCCTCTAAAGGTGGAAACATTATTGTTTTCACTTGAGTGCTCATTTCATGAGTACTATGACTTGGCACAGTCAGCCTAGAAATCTTAACAGAACTAGAGCACTGAAAGAAGCAGCCGATTTACAAAATAAAAATAACCATTATTCAACCTAAAGCATTGTAATGCATAGAAAGACTTTGTAATCTGAGAAAATGTTAATGTTAGTTAATGTTAGAAAGACAACAACTGTAAACTTTTAGAGGGTTCTAGTGACTTGCCCAAAGGCACTTGGATAATCCCTAATACTAATGACCTGTTTTAATACGTAAAAATGTTACTTCAAGAAGACAACAGAAGAGTACACGATTAGTATGCAGAGTGAGCTCATTTGCTTAGTTAACACAGTGTTTATTGAGCACCTGCTATGTTCCTAGGAGCTCTGGTTGTGTAGTCTGTGGGCAGTTGTGCTGCTAAAACCAAAGGCATGCCTCTCTGCAAGTTCAAACTGACCACTTCCCATGTGATAATGCAGCCACAGAAACCTACCAGAGGGTTCTGACTCAGCAGCAATGAGTTTGATTATTATGCCCTGGACTTTATGTTAAGCACAGAGAATACAGTGCTAATAAAAATCAACCCAGTTCCTGGACAATGGAGTTTAAAGGCCAAAAAGGGAGATCAACAGTTATCAAGTAATGACAGAAACACACATACAATTACAATTTGAAATTAGTTCTAGGAAAGAAACAGGCTGGAGTGGTTGGAAGAACCAGATCCTCAGGTAGTAATAATGAGGGGGGTTTTAGTCTTCATAATGGGAACCCATTGAAAAGTTTTAAATCAGGGAAGATAAAAAAAGTGTGGGTTAATTTTCAAAAATTCTGCTTTGTCTATGGAATAGTGAATGTATACAAATGAAACATGAGTGGAAACAAGAAAATCACTCTGGAAGATACCACATTTGTCCAGTCAAGAAAGGATGCTGGTTTAGATAAGGACAGGTGGGGTGCGGAAGCGGTAGAATTTGGTGGATTTAGGATTTAATGCTTTGGGATAGAAATGGTAGTATCAGATGGATAAGATGTAAGGTAGAAGAGAGAAAGCATTATCAGAAATGATTTCCAAATTTCTGTCCTGGAAGCTGGATAGTTGTTTATTATATATATTGAGATGAGGGGAATTGGGGGGGTGGGGAAACCAGCATTGGGAGTCAAGGATATATTTATCTATAGAAAATAAGTTGGCTTAATATGGAATCATGAATTTGTTTGATTAATATGAAGAAACAGAGAAAATTATCTTAATAGGAACCATGGGTAAAACATGCTTAGCCATTAACACGGGGGAATTTAGCCAAGAGTTTCAGGTATGCCTGGTTGTTAGTTAATTGCAGTTCAGTCCATTGCAACTCAGGTCAACCCCATGTAAACACAGTAGAATGGCTTCATAGGGTTTTCAGGGCCACGAGCTTTTGGAAGCAGGTTGACAGAACTGTCTTTTGAGCTACCACTGAATGGCTTTGAACATCTAGCCTTTTGGCTAGTTTGTAAGTGCTTAACCCTTTGTACCACCTAGAGCACTGAACATCACATGGAAGGCCAATGGAGTGAACAGATACATCTTGGAGAGGGTGCAGCCAAAGTGTTCTTTGGAGGCAAGAATGATGAGGCTTCGCCTCCCATACTTTGGACATATTGCCAGGAGGTGCTATTCCTTGGAGAGGGATATGATGTTGGGAAAGGTGGAGGGTTGGTGAAGGAGAGGAAGACCCTCAACCAGGTGGACTGACATGGTGACTGCTGCAATGGGCTCTTGTGTGTCAGGAAGTGTGAGAATGGAGCAAGACAGGACTGGGTTCATACCTTTTGTTCATAGGGTCACTATGAGTTGTACTCAATGGCACTTAACAACAACAACCACCACCAAACCACCTAGAGATTTCAGGTCTTGCTTAGCGATAGTCATTTCAATATATGGCTATTCCTTTATCAAATCCGAACCCATCCAAAGCTGACCCTCCGGGGGCTTTCAGAGCCAGTTAATCACACAGGAAGAGATTGCTCATCTATCTCCTACGGAGCAGCTGGTGGACTTTGAACTGTATGCCTTCAGGATTACAGTGCAGCTTCCTGCCACTAGGCAACCAGAGGGGCAAACATAACTGATGAAAATATTAACTTAGTAATCTGTTATGGAAACTGAAGAGAAGCCTGAAAATTGGTAGCAATCTAGAAAATGCAGTCAGAAAAGGTACAGCTCTCTACTTGTATTATTTTAAATATCTTTTGAACAACTAATTGTTATATTCCACGTACTGATGCTCTGAGACCTTAACTATACAATCTTATTTAATAAGATTAAATAAGATTTAACGGTGGTGTAGCCTGAAAAGCGTTGAAATGCTCACCTAAAGGTCACTCTCTGATGACTCCCATCTACCAGCGATTTGGAGGGAAAGAAAGAGGCATTCTGCTCGCATGCAACTTATCACTTCAGAAAACCTATGGAGAGTCAGCTGAGCTAGTGCTAACTCAACTACAGTGAACTGTGAGTTATCTATTTCATAATCTCAATGACCATTGTTATTGTTGTTGTTGTTATGTGCTGTCGAGTCGCTTACGACTCATAGCGACCCTATGTACAATAGCCCTAAACTCTGCTCTGTCCTGTGCCAATTGTACTGTCTCTGACACACCTACCCCCTGATGACCCCAGTCACTGAATCAATCCACCTCATAGAGGGCCTTCCCCTCTTGCGCTGTCCCTCCACCCTCCTAAGCATGATGTCCCTCTCCAAGGACCTGTCTCTCCTTACAACATGTCCAAAGTATGTCAGACGAAGCCCCAGAATCCTTGCCTCCAAGGTGCCGCCTGGTTTAACCCTCTCCAGGATGAATTTATTTTTTTAAAAAATAAAGCAAACAATGAGACAAAGTCTCTGTTCTGACCCACAGTGATCTTCCACTGGGTTCCTGAGGCGACAAGTATGAGTAGGAGGAGACTATCTGTGTTTCTCCCTTGGAGCAGCTGGTGGACTTGAACTGTGGAGAGGCTTACCTTTTGGTCGCATCACAATACCCTCCCGTCTGAGATATCAGAGCTCTCACAGCCATGCTATGCACTACTACTGGAGACAGTTACAGTTTTCAGCACAACTGTTTCAAGGCAAGTGGTGACTAACAGATATTTTGTCAAGATCAATAACAGCACAATGAAAAGAATTCTCAACAATACTGATAACAATTCATTCAAGTACCTCACAAGAACAACTAACATCTATTGGTAGTGAAATGAAGGCAGATAAAATTGTTTCTAAATATGACACCTTAAAAATATCTTTGGCATTTGGATTGGCACTTCCATGTGTGTGATTTTCTTATTTGAGGAATTTTATGAAAGGAAAAAAAAGAATACAGCATTTCAGCATGATTCATTGTACATTATTATTTGTCAAAAATTATTGAGATCTAAAATAAATTAGAAAATATCTAGGTATCTAAGGTGATAGTGAGCAACTTTCATGTAATGCTGTTTAACTCATCAACAAAGAAAGGCAGTTGCCCTTGTAAATCATCTAACAGGCTAACCAGTATGATTTAATACAGAGGCTGACATTTTAATAATCGGATAAACACCAGTTCGGGCTCTCATCTACTCTGAGGGAGATCTTTACTTGTTCTCTCCCAGGGACTGCTGTTTGTGATGAAACACATCATTGAGAGATAATAG